ATAGGCATATTTTAATAAGCCTGGTGTCTGCCTGCCCAGCCCAAAGCAAGTGAGAGAGCTCTCGAAGCAGACAGATTGACAAAAATAGGCAATGACACCAAGTAGACAAAAGATTAAAAAAAAAAAAATCATTTAGCCACATGTGCAAAAAAGACCGACACGGTGGCCCACTTATGACATCACTGAGTTACTCCTCAGTATAACAGGAATGCTATGATGACCCAGAGGAATAAAACATCTATGCTATATCCTGTAAACCACATTTAGGTAGAAAAAGGGATATTTGGTGGATTTTGAAGAGATTCTATCAAAACTATTATAACAATGACACTCAGAGATAAGTTCCAGTTCTCCCAAATGATGTCAACTAAATGAGCTGCTGTTAGCTATAATTATCAAAATGACTGAGATGACAAGCCATTCTTTGCATGGTTTCAGGGAATTTCCACCTATTCTAGACCTATTATTATAAAGAAAATTATAACAATTTAATGAACAAAATGATTTTTTTTTTAAATATAAAAAGCAAGAAGTAGTCTCTTCAATCTCAAAAGTTAAATGGGGGAACTTAAGTCTCGGGTCACTTAAGTGTATTTCCCACTTCTAGTAGGAAGCATGTCGGCGCTAGACACATATCCAATACTCACAAGGAGCCTCAGTATTTTTTTAGCTTGAATGTTCCTGGCAGCACTTTGAGCAAGGAGGCAGTGGGTAGTTCCTCACACTAAGACAGGACTCCATCTGGGAATTCCATATTGGGGACTTCATTCGATTTTTCAACTCAGTTTTACATCCCACAGTCCATAATTTTTTCTTTTAAATCTTTTCCTTTGTCTGTCTAGGTAGCTTCAAGAGTAGAAATAGCAGGCAGTCCCCAAAGTGATATCATCTGAGGGCCGCTTACAAAAGGCCTTTACTCTAAATTTCTCCTCCACCAAAATCGGATATTCCACCAAGAGAGATTCCTGGGGGAGAAACAAGGTATTTTTCCATCTCCAGGGTCCCCTAATAAATTATATATACTCCAGAGAGACATAAGACCCTGGGCAGGCAAGGCCCTGATCAGTGAGAAACAGGTTAGGTAGCCGTGATAAGGAAAGGGTGGGTGGAATAGGGGAACCCAAACAGAGAGGAGAGTTAGACCAGCTTATCCCTTCAACTTAACCCAGCCTTACTTCCAACTGTCCTTACTTCTCTACCTTCTGAGTCCTTCTCCCTAACCTGGAACAGTCCATTTAACGTCTTGTCACTTCAGAGCATTCCTTCAGTCTCCAATCCTTGCCTCCCTCTCTTGGGCCTTGTTCCTGATCTCAACAGGTACGCCTCAGCACACCTGTATTAGTCTGCTCAGGCTGCCATTACACAGTACCACAGACTGGGAGGCTTAAACAACAGAAATTTATTTTCTCACTCTTCTGGAAGCTGGACATCTAAAATTAAGGTGTGGGCAGGGCTGTTTTCTCCTGAGGGCTCTCTCCTTGGCTTGTAGATGGCTGCCTTCTCCCTGCGTCTTTATGCAGTCTTCCTTTTGTACGTGTCTATATCCTAATCTCCTCTTCTTAGAAGGACACTAGTCATGTTGGACTAAGGCCCATATATTGACCTCATTTTAATCACCTCTTTAAAGACCCTACCTCCAAATACAATCACATTCTAAGGTAATGGAGGTTAAGGCTTCAACATGTGGATTTGGGGGGAAGGAAGTCAGCCCATGATGATACTGGACTTTAAAGTCTCCTGGAAGGCACTTGACTCCTTTTTTGAAACACTGCCCCTAAATCTGCTTCAAATTCACCATAACATGTCTCTTCAAGGCTGGATTTTCTAATCTGAAGCTCTCCTGGTGGAAAACACTAGGCAGGATGCAGCACGTTTAAATCTGGAGGTGACTCATGATTTGTCTGTTGTGTCAGAATTAGAGCTGGGTTCTGTGTGGGGTACCCCGAACTGCTCATGGGACGATTTAGTCTGGATTAGGCCTCTGGTGATGGGCACATGAGAAGCTACAGACCTAGGCAATGGACTGCCTCCCACCAACAGCTGCCAACCAGCGCAGTTTACTATAAATTAAAGCATTTCAGAATTAGAGGGAAAAAATGCTGCACTCCCAAAACGAGAACAAAGTCTTTGTCTCCTCTGTTAGTTGAGCCCTGAGGATTGCAGAAACCCTGCACTGGCCTTAGCCAGGATCTCTGGGATCTCTGGGATCTCTGAGCCAGGTAATCCCTCAGGCTCCCGTGGGCTTCAACACCTGGGTCACACACCTTCCTGAAAGAAGGGCCTTTAGTCAGGGTTTGCCCCAAGCTCTTCAGGGCTCTCCTCCTCCGACTGTAGCTTCCACGAAATGGCCTCACTCTGAGGCCCATTGTGCAGAGAAACTCCAGATCTTTCAATTCTTCCTTTCTCAGCTGACTTCACCCTGATTCTGGAAAAGCCTCCCCTCCCACCTTGCTCCACCCCTCCCCACACCTCACCCACCACCCTCACTATTGGGCTGCTTTCAGTCTGCAAAGTACAAGGTAAACTCTATACACCAGCACAGCCACTCAGCGCCTACTGCAAATGGCAGTGTCCCTTCTGCGGTCCAGGCCCGGAGGATGTGGGACTGCATGGCGGTGCCATACACCGTCCTCGAATCAGGGCCTTTCCTGATTCGCTTTCCAGAGAGCCTCAGGTGGTTCACAGACACACTCCTGACAAACTCAAAATGGAAAGCTTCCCAAGCTCTTTCTCTTCCCCAAGAAACAAAGGAATTAAAATCTCTTCTTCTGGAAATCCTTAAAAATAGGGGCAAGGCTACCCTACTTGAGCCAGGATGTGTGGCTCCGCAGTGGAATGTCTCCTGGGGCCCCGCTACCCTCCGATCTGGAACCCCACTGAGTGATTTGAAGGACATCGGGCAACTCGACAGGGGTCCTGTGGAACGAACTGTGACCCATAAGTGTTAGTGGTGATCGCCCTTAGTGCTGTGACCTTTCCCCTCCTCAGCAGCCCTGACGTTGCGATTCAGCTGTTGTGAGAATATGGACCATGTGCTTGGTTTGTAGCCACCATTCGTTACACTGCATTCCCTGAGGAGGTTCTGCTCCGAGATGAGAATGCTCTGTCTCACTGACCGTGTAGTCCCTTTTAGGGGATAACACATGTCAATGACTCAGAATCTCCCATAGTGTCCTTTCCTCCTGGTTCCACCAAAGTTGCTGAAAATCTGTCTGCATTCAACCACGCTGCCCTGTTGGTATTGCTCCCTTGCTTTCCCCATCAGCCTCCCGCCTCCACTTCTTGGCCCTCTAGTCTCTTCCTTGCCCCCTTCGATTCGGTTTCCATTTACTCCAAATAAGTTTAATTAAATGATGAATTTAATTCATCATGTGTCAGGTGATGAATTTAATTCATCACGTGTCAGGTGCTAAGGGGAATGAACATGTAGGCCTGACTCCAAAGAGATCAAAGATCTTCTGATCCACCACGGGGGATCAGTAAGACAGATGCACAAACACCCACAGCACCAGACAGAACAATCAAATGCAAAGGGGAGAGGAGGAGGCAGAGATGTCTGGGGAACACTCAGGACTGTCCATCAAGGAGACAGCATTTTAACTGGGCTTCAAGAACCAGTGAGATCTTTAACAGGCCAGGATGTGAGCAGCCCTGAAAAGCGGGGAGCAGGAATAGGCTGGGAAGTATACAGGCCACAGAAGAAGCGAGGGATCCAAGCGAAGTAGGGCTTCAGGGGCTGGACAGAGGGGCGCAGTGCTCAAGAGGCCGGGCAGCATTTGGCGAGCCGCCAGGGGGCCTGTGCCGGACTCCACTGGGAGGTGCGCCATCAGGCAGCCCTAGTACCTCAAAGTCGGGGCTTCACTCCAGCCTGTCTGCTTCTTAGTAACAAGGGGACTGACTCATGATTACGACAGCGATAGATCCTCAAGTTCTTTTACACCAGGCCTCTTGGGCCTGCTCCACTCATGAAAAAGAAAAGAGAAAATTCAGTGGCCTTATAAGGAGTAAATGACTTCAGAATCTTAATATGAGCAGGGCCAGAAGTTGTCATTCTGAGTTTCCCACAAAAAACCTCTGAGTCCGTGTGCAGTAAACAAGCTTTGGGGAAAGGACAGGTCATTTGCCTGCCTTCCCCTTTTGGATTTAAGGGCGGGTCGGACCCTCCACCTCACCTCCTCATCACCAGTTCCTTCCCAGTTTGGCTTTGAGAACTGGGTCATCACTTCATGATCTTGAGCCAGCTGCCAAGAAGGCTCGTTCCCCAGGGCAGTGTTGGCTGCTCCTGGAAGGTAAGCCCTGCTGAAATGGAAGGCTTTCCAGAGATAGCACACAGCGCTGGCAGGGGACAGAGATCAGAGCCCAGAAGGGTGGGCAGCCACAGGCTGGTGCTGAAATGTCACACTGCCTTGGCACACGTGGATCCTCCTGTGTCAGTTACTAGATACTTTTCACTTATTTAAAGATATCCAGCCAATGCCACCCTACGAGTATCTCTTTGCTGGGCAAGAGACTGCATGTTTAAAAAAATATATTAAAATACCCTTTCCCCATCCTCCAATCCAACATTCATGGCATTTTTCAATTAATTGTCTGAAAACTATTTTGCCCAAAATCATAATGTGTTATTCTATTACTGTCTTACTTTAATAATATACCGCTGGGGTGGGGCAAAACAGGTGAAGGGGGTCAAAAGGTACAAACTTCCAGTATAAGATAAATAAGTGCTGAGGATGTAATGTACAGCACAGAGACTTTAGTTAATACTGTTGTATTGCATATTTGAAAGTTGCTAAGAGAGTAGGTCTTAAAAGTTGACATTACAAGAAAAAATTTTTGTAACTATGTGTGGTGATGGATGTTAACTAGACTTATTGTGGTGATCATTTCACAATCTATACAAAAATTGAATCAGTATGTTACACCCTTGAAATTAAGATAACATTTTATGTCAATTATATCTCAATTAAAATATAAATCAACTGCTTTTATAGCAACTCTACCTGTCAGGCAGTGTCTCTGAATTTGCAAAATTCTTTTATTGTAGGAAGCCACAGATTGGAGAGTAGAACAGGTTCATCTCTTGGTTCTTTTGTAGCCTGTTTCTCCTTCTGAAAAATATTTTGAGACCTAGGCATGAAAACTACAAGTCCAGAGCAACAGATACAGTAACAGAAGTATTCCTGTGTTTGTAACCTAAACATTCTCAATGCATCCAAGAAACTCACATTTAAAGGTACTTTTTAGTGAATGTATTTATGAAATGAAAAGTTATTTGGCCATCTTAGACATGTTTCAAACATTTGTAATTTCTTAACAATTTTTTTTAACACAATGGAAGTTAGAATGACTTGTTCTTTATCATGTCAACCCACTTATTAAATTAGATGGCTCCTTCTTACTTGAATATCATATTTAGCTCTAGAGCCAGATCTTAACTGCTTAAACTATTTAATTTATGAATCCAACCAGGCCTGTTCCTCATCGGAGCTCATAAGTACTTCTTCCCAGGAGAGGAAGGGGAAGGGAAAGTCAATGAAAATTAAATGAGTTAATTTTGCTATTTTTAGTAAACGTGGGAAATGGGGTGATGAAAGACAAAGTTCAAACCTACTATGGAGCTGGCTGCATTTCAATTACCCCTGCTATCTTCAAATAGTTGCTGGGAAATGGGCACATTTAAATACCCTGTTGAGAACAATCATTCTCCCATCCTAATATATGGTTCCCAAGGGTGGTCCATCTGTTCTGCCTGGGGGAGCCAGAGAGTAAAGGGACTATGTTCCCTGGCCAGCTCCACCCCTCACCTGCATAGCCTCAATTCCCTTTGTGTCAACCCTGTCGGTCTGGTTAAGGGCTTCCAAAAACAACCAAAGGAAGAAGTAAAGATGTGCAAAATGATGAAGCTGTGGGTTGTGAATCCTGTAGCATAATGATCTCCTTTGTAGTCTCTGTGGTTTTGCTTGAAGGTAGCGCTCTCTTCTGCCTTGGAGGGGATGATGCTTTATATATGTTAGCTTTACTCATGGAAAGATTCTGTTTTAGATTTGTTTGATATATGCAAGCACAGAATCTTTCCACAAGTATATAACAATACTTTGTATTAGGCATTTAGTAATTCTTTATGGAACACTTCAGGAAAATGTTTTGATGCTTTCCATCAAAATTTAATGGAAATTTTATGTTCTCAACCTTTAACTGGGAAATGTAGTTTTGATTTTTTTGTCACCCACATAGCCCTCCCTCTTATTACCTCCTCAGATGATTCTACTCAGATGAATATTTAATAACATGAGATTTCCATATTCCTAATGAGATTTCCACATTTCTAATGTTTATTACTATTCCTTAAATGCTCATAAAGGTCATACTTTTCCCCAATACTAATTTAATAATCTTGAAAACAGTCAACAGTAAGAGCACAAATCCCTTAATTGGCTTTATATAGAGAGAATGTATGACAAAGTATTGCTATATCTAATACACACAGACTCACAGAATGCAGCTCTGGTGAACGGCAGAGAGCAGGAGACGTCATTATCACTCTGCCACTTAACTACAAGAATGAGTGTGAGCTAGCTAGTCATGGAACCCTTTGAGCCTCAGTTTCCTCTTCTGTATAATAGGAATGGTCCCTTCCAGGACTTTTCCTGAGAATTAAATGTGTGTGAATGAGTTCTGTAAACCATGAAATGGTATGAAACTATAAGGCATTACTATCATTATTTATATCAGCTGTCCCCAACCTTTTTGGCACCAGGGACTGGTGCTCCTGTGAGAATCTGATGACCTGAGGGAGAGCTGATGCTAGCACTGGAGAGCAGCCACAAACACAGATGAAGCTTTGCTCGCTCACCTGCTGCTCACTTCCTGCTCTGTGGTCTGGTTCCTAAGAGGCCATGTACCGGTACCAGTCCATGGCCCAGAGGTTGGGAACCCCTGATTTATACACATGAAATGAGAGATCTCCAGGCCTTTTAAAGAGGTCAGGGGTCTGAGAAAAGATTAGGAACTTAAAAAGAAGCCGAAAAGCAAGGGCTAAATACTACTGTGGTGAACACATGGAGCTGGTCCCATGAGTACGCCAACACATATGAAAAACAGGCACCTGATGCCACAGTTCTATGTCTTGTTCGTGAATATTACACAGTCCAAGAATCTCCATGGCCTCCAACTTCTTGAGGTCATTGTTTTACTCAATATCAAAATATATGAGTCAATCTTTGACATCGCTCTTAGCAATATTTTTTTGGATATGTCTCCTCAGACAAGGGAAACAAATGAAAAAATAAACAAAAGGGGACTATATCAAAATAAAAAGGTTTTACGCAGCAAAGGAAACCATCAGCAAAACAAAAAAAGACAACTCACTAAATGGGAGAAAATATTTGCCAATGATAAGGGGTTAATATCCAAATTAAATAAGGAACTCAGACGGCTTAATACCAAAAAAAAAAAAAAAAAAAAAAAAATCCGATTAAAAAATAGGCAGAGGACCTGAATAGATATGTCTCCAAAGAGGCATACAGATGGTCAACGGACATATGAAAAGATGATCATCATTAATGATCAGGGAAACACAAATCAAAACCACAATGAGATACCATCTCATGCTTGTCAGAATGGCCATCATCAAAAAATCAACAGACAACAACTGTTGGTGAGGCTGTAGTAAAAAGGGAACTCTCATGTACTATTGGTGGGATTGTAAACTGATGCAGCCACTGTGGAAAACAACATGGAGGTTCCTCAAAAAATTAAAAATGGAACTACCATATGATCCAGCAATTCTACTTCTGGGTATTTATCTAAAGAAATCCAAAACACTAATTCAAAGATATATGCATCCCTATATTCATTTTAGCATCACCTATAATAGCCAAGATATAATCCCTATATTCATTTTAGCATTACCTATAATAGCCAAGATGTAGAAGCAACCTAAGTGTCCATTGATGGGCAACTGGATAAAGATGTGGTACATGTATATGCAATGGAATAATACTCAGACATAAAAAAAAAAAAAAAATGAAATCTTGCCAGTTACAACAACATGAATGGATCTAGAGGACATTATGCTAAGTCAAATAAGTCAGACAGAGAAAGACAAATACAATATAATTTCATTTACATGTGGAATCTAAAATTAAAATAAATGAACAAACAAAATAGAAACAAACTCATAGATACATAGGACATTTCAAATTTAATGTCAGACATCATTGCTTCCTTAAAGCCCTGTCATTTCCCACACAAGAATGTTTTATATCCATGTCTCTCCATAGGATCGGGCCTTCTATCATGTTTCTATCTAGCCCTCCCTGCCCCTACTTCTCTAGATACTTCTACTTCCTTCTTCAGGATCTCAACCCCTTCTTGAGATGCCAGTGGATTACCCCTGTTTCTGTATCATGCTGAATGATTTCACTTTTTTTTTTAAAGTCTGTACCTCTTCCATCTCCAGTGTTCTAAGAGAGCCTGGCCTTTCACAACCAAATAGGTATGATAGATGGATGAATGGATTTAATGAATGAGATGCCCAGCTAAAACAAGGTCCCTGGCCAGAACCACAGTAGGCACTCAGCTTGTTAAACGAAACGAATAATGCTCAGAGGTGGAGATTTTTCAGGTCATCGTTACAGAAGTAATATTTGAAGCCAGGGTGATGAATGCCTTTGCCCAAGGAAAGCAGTGTGAATTCTGCTGAAGACTCAACTTTGGGAAAAATACTTATATTTAATGGATGGTCCAAACTGGCAATAGCTGAAAGCTAGGATGAGAACTAAGAGAATACGGCTTCAGAATGATGTAGGAATAAATCCTGTAGGGATTCAGAATGAGTCACCCCAAGATGTGCCTCAGTTGTATGTAGATTATTTTGAGCTCAAGGCAACTGAGACCCTGTGGGTTCAAGAGAAACTTCTGTTCCCTCTTCCCCTTAACTAACTAGAAGAATTTAAATTAGGAGTCTGGTCCACGATAAGAGTTATCACCAGAAATAACTTTTTACATATGGCAGGACAAACTGATAATTACTGAACATGTGCTCTCCCTGTAATTAACTCTGATTGCCCTAGCTCACAATATTTTATGTACCTCAATTTCTCTTTCAGTCTCTAAACCTCTCATGTTTGTGGGGTCTCTGACTCTCTCGACTCTCTCAACTCTCTCACATATGCGGGGTTCCATACATATGTATGTAATTAAATTTGGTCATTTTCTCTGGCTAATCATGTCTATTTGATTAATAGACCAGCTGAAAGAACCTGGAGGGTAGAGCAAAGTTTCTTCCTTCCCCGCTACCCGGAACAACAAGAGTTTAGGAAATGAATGGGAAGTGAAATGTAGGACACAATAAATATAACTATTAGTTTGCTACATTCTTATGTGAATCATTTTCAAAGTTAGTAAACATTTTAAGGAAAAGAATTTTATTCCTGTAACTGGTATATTTCGGATTCTCAACTTGTTAGGACGTAAGCATGAAACGGTTTTATTGCTGTCAGCATGTCTCCAGGTGTTTCTGTTGAATTCCCATTTCCCATAGAGTAGCAGAGCATCAGTGATCAGATCAGATTTAATAATTTTATAATTTAATAATTTCCCTAACTTTTTTGGTTATTAGACCAGCGTCATTTTTGTATTTAAGATTCAGTTCTCATTATTAAAAGAAAGAAAGAGAGAGAGAGAGAGAGAGAGAGAGAAACAAAGAAACAAAGAAACAAAGAAAGAAAATAACGAGTATTGGTAAGTATGGGGAGAGATGGAAACTCTCATAAATTGCTGGTGGGCATGTAAAATAGTACAGCTGCTGTGGAAAACAGTATGGTGGCTCCTCAAAAAGTTAAACATAGAACCACCATCAACTCTAACTGAAAAATAAAAATTAAAAAAAATAAAAATTAAAAACAAAGGTATGAAGTAAAAAAAAAATTGCCATATGATTCAGCAATTCCACTTCTGGGAAAATACCCAAAATCACTGAAAAGAGAAACTCAAACAGATAGTTGTGCATCCATGATCACTGGAAGCAAACTAAGTGTTCAATGTCGGAAGAACAGATAAACGAAATGTGACCTATACATACAATGGAAGAGTATTTGGCCCTAAAAAGTGTGAAAATTCTAATATATATTGACAACATGGATGATCCTTGAAAACACTGCTAAGTGAAAGAAGACAGACACAAAAGGACAAATATTATATGATTTCATTTATAAGAAGTACCCAGAATAGACAAATTCATAGAGACAAAAAACAGGGTGGTGGTTACCAAGGGCTGGTTGGAGGGGGAAATGAGAAGTTAGTATTTAATAGGTAAAGTTTCCATTTCCAATAATGAAAAAGTCCTGGAGATGGATGGTGGTGATGGTTGCAAAACATTATGAATGTATTAAATGCCACTGACTTGTATACTTAAAAATTGTTAAAATGTTGAATTTTATGTTATGTGTATTTTACTACAAAAAAAAATTTTTTAAAAAAGATTCAATATTAATCATTTGAAAACTTCCATCTCAAACTAATTTCCCAGCCCATTAGACCCCCAGTAGCTTGCTGGCTCTGCCCCTTGATAGCTTCCGTGTTCCTGAGCCCAGGAACCATTAGGTACCCTTCTCCAGGCTTAGAAGGACTTGGAGATCTGGGGTGGGTAGAGCTACCCCATCTTCTTTCCAGGCTCACTGTGCTTACAGCCCTTCAAACCCTGATAGATACTCCCGTGAAATCTCCAGCCTAGGAGTGAGCGTGTGACTTTCAAGTTTGTCCCCAAACCTCAGTGGCAAGGAGATTTTGTGCCATGCTCCTTGGCTCCCAGAAAGTTCACTATTACCCTTTCATCCTGCTCAGCTCCTTGTGCCCCGAAGAGAATTTTGGAGTCTGCGCCTTAGCAGGAGTCCAATATCCCTGTCTTGCTGACTCTCTCCCTTACCTGGCTGTGGGATTAAAGAAACCCCTTCTCCTTTGTAGTAGGCAGAATTTGAAGCTGCCCCCCAAGGTTCCAGTCCCCTTAAATTTGAGTGGAACCTGAGAATATGATGAGCTGTCTCCTCTGTGATTATGTCACATCATGTGGCAAAACAGACTTTGTAGATATAAAGATCCTAATCAGTCGACTTGAGGATAATTAGAAGGGAGATTATCCTGGATGGATAGAACAGGAATACACCATCCACCCCCTCCCCCCAACACATGGGAGAGGGAACAGCCTCCCACCATGAGTACTAACTGCACCTCCACACAGCTTAGGACCCTCACACCGCTTCTTAGTTTGGGAAAGCGAGTAGGGTTGGGGGTGCTGTCGGTGTTAGGGCCAGTTCAGATATGTTAACTGTCAGTAAGTCCTAAAGAGATGGTAAGTTCCTGGTGACCTCTTGAATTTGTAATGTAAGAAATGGTATGCACTTTTGGTTCTCAGTTGCAATTTTAGGACGAGGGGAAAAATATCCCACAACATTTGATTACTCACAGTAGATGGTAGCATCTGGTGTGATTTCCATTTTTTTTTTTTTTTTTGTCCAGTTGTGATTCTCTTTTTTAAAACTTATTTAATAATCTAGAAATTAAAATAAAATATTTTAAGCTTATCAAAGAATTGCCAGCAAGGTTCCTTTATCTTTCCATTCCCCAATATTGCAACTTGGAGATACAAGTGAGACCTTGTGCCTGACGACATAGTGACATCTAGGTAGCCCTGATGGGAATCCAGTTGTTGGGTGTATAAAGCTGGAGGGCAGACTGGACTCTCTGGCCCCATAAAGTAGTCAACTATCCTGCCTGGTGATACCTTTGTCCTCACTCCCTGACTACAGCACTAGGCAAAGTGCTCACTCAAAAGTCAGGAAATCCTTAAGTTCAGGGTCACATCAAAGAGGAAGTTATGCAGTGGGTCACGACAGAATTGTATAGAGAAAAGTGTCAGCCCTCAAACTTAGAAATTTACTATCATGAAATCTTTTAACTGAAATGGGTTTATAAGAATTTGACTTAGTAGAAAGGTAACACAAACTATAAATGTTAAGTACTCAACTCACTAGAATCACTTTTCTTTTCAAAAGTGCTACCTGCTATGTCTGTAACACAAAGAGGACTGGGTCTCCTTGGATCCAGCTCTTACCTGCCACTCAGTTGAGGCCAGTTGCAGCTCTTGTTTAATTCTGAAATTTTCTGAAATTTCCTGAAACGAAGTTCACTCCCAAAGCACTCACAAGTGTTAGTGAAGATCTGGTGGGAAGATAGAGAGAGTTAAGACGCTTGCATAGGAAATTTCCTAAGGCTGCAGGTTCCCCAAGCCATTTCCAAACCACTGTCAGCTTTGCTTTCTCCGTCTATAAACCGAAAACTAGCCAGAGGTCAGCAGAAGCAAAACAAGTTGTTCTCAGACAAATTTTAACCACCAATTGCTTTTCGGGCTTTTCTTTAGGGGAATGTAGTACATTTTACTGTTTTCATCTATAGAATCACTTATACTCTACCTGGAGATTAACAAATTGTTAGTGATTAACCAGTTTATCATTTGATTCTTACCTGTATCCTCCCAACCCCTCTTATACCACAAATTCCATGTAGACAGACAGCTTATGCATAGTTGTATCTCCTAGACCTTACCGATAGTAACACCCAGTACATAAGAGACCACAGATAATTTTTGGATGAAGAATGAATGGGTGCCATGCATTCTCTTTTCCTGTTTGGACCTCAACCACTTAGCTTTGGGAGTAAATTTTGTTTCAGGAAATTTCAGGAAAGTTTGCATGAGCAGCATGGGTTCACCAGGGACCTTTTGGAGTCTTGCTTCTTTTTCAGAACTATTATCATTAAATTTTAGGGATAACTTATTTACCGTTTGCTTCTATATTTGTTTCTTCCGCAAATATTTCTCCTTCAAATACTGATCTGAAACACAGAGAAGGTAGCACATCATCTATTAGCTTTCAGGACATATGGAACACTTCATTATTGCCTTTTTTTTAGTTTTTCTCTAAACTTGTCATCAAAGAACCTCTAGGTCGTAATTTCCTCATCTGTAGAAGTATAATAATTATTTCCTTTTTTATTAAATTAAGAAATTTCACTAGTAATTCATCCTTGATGTACATCAATCTCCTTCTCTTCTTTCTATCATCTATCTATTGAATGTTTGATATAAACTGGACTCTATGCTATGCACACTGGCATTTATTGTCTCATATAAAAATAATATTAGTCTCTGTTGATTTATAAAAGTAACAGTCACAACAGAAAATTTGAAACATATACAATACTATAATCATGTAATCAGAACCAAAAACAGTAACTTTCATCCTTTTGATAAAGTTCCTTCTAGTTTGTCCATATACATATGCATTTTCCATAGCTGAAGTAATAATTTACATACAATTTTGTAATGTTCTTTTCCCCCTTAATAATAATTTAGGTATTTTGTGTTCACGAAAAATTCCTCATTTTTAATAGCTACATAATAGTTTATTTGAACTTCCCCTTAGTAGTTAGCTCTGTGTGTGTGAGTGTGTGCGTGTTTGTAATTATTTTGGATGTTTTAATGTTCTAATTTTCTGACATTACAAAAAAAGGAGACAGTTCATATCTTTATGTACAAATCTTTGTGCTCATTTCTGATTATTTCTATAGAATCCCTAGAGATGGAATTATAGGGTCAAAGTGTATAAATATTTTTAAGGCTCTTGAAATAGTTCATGAAATTGCTTTCCAATAGAGTTATATAAACTTATGTTTCCACTAATAATATATAAAATTGCCCATTTCACTATACTCCTGCCAGTACTGAATATTAGAATTTAAGAACATATTTTTCTTCAAACACTATGTATTATTTTAAATTTTTATTCTTTAAATTACTAGGTAGTCTAAACACTTTAAAATAATTACAAACACACACACAGAGCTAACTACTAAACATTTTTATTGTCTTTTTGAGGAAATTTTTTCATTGAATTATTAGAGTTTTCTTATCAATTTGTGTGTACTCTTGTATTAAGAATAAAATTAACTGTCGGATTTGCTATAGTTATCCTTTCCAAATTTTGTTCATAAAATATTTAGTTGTCAGAATTTCAAATTTTTTATGTAATCTAGTCTAATGGTTATTTCCTGTATGATTTTCCTATTTCTTTTCTTCTCCCATCTTGAGGTTACATAAAGATTTGCCTGTTTTCTCTTAGTTTTTAAATTCTTTAATGCAGCTGAAATTTCTTTTAGTACATAATGAAAGTTAAGGGCTCAACCTGATTAAATTTTTTAAAAGTACTAGTTTTCTCAAGCCCATTTATTGAGAATCCATCTCTTTATCATTTACTTTAGATGACTTTTATCATATATCAAAGTCTACACTATATCAATACTATCTGTTTTTGGGTTATTTCATTCTATTATCAATATCATTCACTATCTATTATTCTATTATGACAGTAAATTATTATAGCTCTATTTTAAGATGTTATAGCCCTGTTTCAAAAATAAACGGGAATTTACCATATCTTTCTTCATTTTCATAATTTTCTTAACACTTCTCATTTGCTATTTGTTCTAGTAAACATTAAAATAATTTCATTTTAGCTTCATAGGATAGGTGTTAATAGCCTCATTATACAGATAAGGAACTGAGTCTCAAAAAGAATAAATAGCTCAGGGCTACATATCCCCTCCGTGGAAGAGGCATAAAGCAAAATCATGTCTTAACATCTACCCTTTCAGCTCTAAAATGTTATAATTACTTAATAAAGAATATTCGTTAAATTTCTTACTATTCTTTCTTCTTTCCTGTCTGCCTCTCTCTAGTGGCCATCACAGATATTGCACTTTTCTCAAATCAATTTTATACACAGAACTGTAATCATTTTCATAAAAAACATGTTTAGCTTAACTTTTTTAGTTTACTTTAAAATTTTAAACTTACACAAAGTTCATAAGAACAATTGTCTAATATTTGGGGGCCATGTATTAGCAGCATTTTTAAAGCAAAGACCAGTCCTCCAAAGACATTTAATTAAAAGTTGAGTGAATATAAAGTAGAATTTTATAAATTTCATGTTTTAAAGTAGCAACAATAGTATATACGAAGACCCGCCAGATGTTTCTTTGTTCCTTTTTTTCCCTTGACATTACCTAAGTACTTTCATGAATAACTATCTTTAAATTCCCCCTCTAAGCCATTTCTTGTTTTCTTACATCATGTCCTTTCATTCTTTTAGTCCTTTTGTGTATGGTCAGTTGGCACAAAGCTGCCTAAAAAGGAGTGCAGACGGGACTGAAAGCCTGCCTGTGCTCAGGTAGTCACACCCCGCCCTGCCTAGGTCTGCACCAGCCCAGAGGAGAGGCCACCTGCTTGTAAATCCCATAAGATCTGAGATGTGCTAGCAGGGGACTGGCCTCATTTCCCCTGCTGCCTCTTGGTTGAAATCCCAGTCTGTTTTCTTCCCTGTTCATTTCCTGCCCACCTTGTTTGCCTTTTTCTTTTCCATTTATTCCTTCCTAATGCCATCATCCTTTGATTTTTTTCCCTTCTTATTTCTCCTTCTTCTATAAGAAAAAACATTGTGTAAAATTAAAATTTTATGCAAAAGATAATGTGTAAATTAAAATTTTAAAGTAAATTAAAAAAAAAAACACTAAGGTAAAATATATTTATATATCCAAAAGCTTAACTGAGAAAAAAGCATAATAAAAAGGAAAACAAATTTTAGGAAGCACTTATCAAAATGTCTTTTTTCTTTATCTGAGTTCCTTAAAGACAGGTTGCCTACACTACCTCTCATCTGCAGGTTTTTAATATTATTTAACTTTTACTAAGCCAATTCATGATAAATGCATTAGTATTTAACATAATATGAAACAAAATTTAAGAGGGAAAAAAAAAAGAATGTAAACAGAAAGCTTAGGCCCATTATTCAGCAAGGATCAAGAACTGACAGAATTGATTCTCTCCTGGATTTGGTTCAGAAAGAGGGGGATAATACTACTTGCCTAATTAACTAGCACGTTGGGTGGATTAAAGTGCTTTGCAAACATTAATTAAAGATGCAGGGAGTTAGATGAGGCCAATGTGTTATTAGAGAAAAAGTTTTCTTCTCTTTAATCAGGTATCTCTTCCTGGGGAGGGCAAAGAAATGATCTAAGGACGAAGGAATTGGGGCTCAGCCGGGAGCACTACCAGTGACTCAGCTATTCTGTACAACCAACCACTTCCTTCCTGAGTTTTCTGTAGAATGGGGATAAACACGAACAGCATTTTGGAATATAGGAGGTTATAATGTCTGCCGTTGGAGTACACAGCCAACCCTAACCACAACTCTTGCTTTCTCCCTTTCTAGAGAGTCGATGCACCCCAAGGAGGCTTTGGTGGCGTAACCTTCCACCAGCTTATAGAGCCCTCTGCAACCAGCTATTTATTACCTCAGTCGGTGTTTCCACAGGGACAGAGTCAAGGAGAAAACGGCGCGGAGCAATGGGGGTCAAAACCCTAGGACCAGTTTCTTCGCCTCTCTGCGACGGTTTTCCTCAGAACCCTCCTCTGTAAAATGGGGGCAAGAAATCAGGGCATTGTCCTGAGGATTAGGTGAAATAAAGTATGTAAAATGGCTCATCCGAAGGTAATAAGTATTCAGGTCGTAGTAATTGCCACCAAACATAAAATAACCTCTCAAAGTTCACGGGGTGGGGATTGGGACAGATTGTCCTGTTTCTTCAGAGCTTCAAACGCAAACCCCTGTTACTTTCCTCCGCATGTGTATTACGGAGATGGCGGGTGGGGTTTCACTCATACCAAGACCGAGGACCCCTGAGAGAGGCGGTCGCGGGCGATTCCCGCGCGCGGGCCTGTCCCTTTAAATGCCCGGGGCAGGAGCTGTGCGCGTCTCGGGCGCGAAGGTCGGACTGGTGGGCACGCGGCGGGCCGGTG